TGCACTAGCAAAAACAACAGCCTGATGCAAGGATTTTTCAATTTTTTCAAGAATTTTTCGATTTTTTTGAGTTTTACAATGGAACTGGCTCCCTATTTTGACTTCCTGGTCTGCGCCAGAGTCAGTTTATCATCGAAAACGAATGGAAGAATTGTAGTGGGATAAGCCATCTAGTTGACGGAATCTAATCTTCGACTTTTAGCGCAGAAGTAACGTTGCATAGTACAGTAATAAAAATTTATATTGAAATAGGAAGGAGAATGGAAGAGAAAATAAAATTAAAAAATTAGTAAAAGCAGTAAAATTATTTTAATAAAATTATTATAGGCACAGGAAATTTTTGGATCCATTAAGTCGTATACATTTCTTACCATTACCACGAATCAAACTTGTCATTGTGTTGAAATATGATCAAATCCGTGAAATATTTTAAGGTGGCTCGATGCCGACTATAGTGGCACCACTGCTAGCAGAATTAGAAGATATCGATTGGTCAAAAGTACGCATATTTGTTGCTGATGAACGAATGGTACCAATTAATGACATTGAATCGAACACAGGCGCTTATATAAATACCCTGCCGGAGACTTTCAGCAAGTCCTTCTTCCACTATGGACCAATCGATAACAGTATGCTTTTGTTATGTGTTTAAAATTCTTTGTTAAATCTTCGAATTTCTAAAAATTGTTTTAGTTCGTTAGGCTTTTCTCAAACCCGAAAGTGCTCTTTTCTGCTATTTTTATTTCATTTTTGAGTTTTTTAGAATTCTAGTTTGCTGCAATTAGAAATTTTGAACTTTCGAACATATTTTTAAGTGTTTGAGATCATATTTTGCATTAAAAAGATTATGATTGAATAGATAAAAATCTGCTCGCTCTTACCGCTTTTTTGGCAGCCTTTCGTGTTATTTATTGCCACTGCTAAATTAATGATATTTCTTTACTTAATTCATTTTTCGCATAGAAGTCCAAGATCGTCTGATAGTCATTGTGAGGTTTGCGTGTTAGTGTGCTGCAAAAGGAAGGACGTGCTACTACCAAGAAAACGAAGTTGATGGTTAAATCCCCTTCGCCTTTTCCAGTTGCCCTTCGATTCCTTGTGTTATGTAAATGTCCCGTCTCCTGATTTGAGTCCCGCCTCCATGATATTTAATATGGTGATTATAAATAAACTAGGAATTGTTTTTGTGTCATAAAAGTTGTGTGGCAGCAGTTTGGAGCCGCTGTAGCTCCCGCCGTTGCTCTTACCAGGTGACAGCTTGGAGCTGCTGCCGGGTTTCCTCGCTTAGTGCGTTCCTTTTTTTTGGTTTTTCGTAAATAAAGCATTGTTTACTAGTTTGGTGTGTGTGCCCCCTCCCCCTACCTCCCCCC